AAAAAAAAAAACTCAACCAACAATCTATTTGTTACAATATAATGAATTTGGTAGACACTAATATACTAAGATTGAACACTGTTATGACTTATATACATAATCATCACGTGACATCTTATTTGAATGGTGGGACCCGTCCAATTGAATCAGGATGTATTTTCCTAACCTCTGACGTGTCAAACGAGGCCCATTACCTGAGGCCATCATGGTTAGCCTATTTCTGAGGCCCTTCTCCGAGATTCATAACACCACCACGGACTTGAGGCTCTAACGACTGTTGACCAAGTATGAAGACTCATTCATGATGAAAATCTCAATTTGAATGATTGAGTGACTTGTGTAAAAGTTTATTTGTGCATTTTCTTGTCAATGTAAGAGCATTTAATGTCTTGTAAGGTCAGGAGAGTCAACTTGATGGCTATGACTTGATGTCTTGGTCGAGGAGATGTTGCCACGTGTAAAATGATCCAAAGGTAATTGTTTCATTGGTAATACTATAAATACCCACACCATGTAATACAAGAAGGTTAATGAAATTCCAGATACTTGAAATAATATAATTTTCTCCACTCTCGTTTAGCAGCACATTTCTACTACAAATCTTGTTCTTTATCGATTAGTTTCTTATACAATCGTGTTACATTTATCTTGCCGGATGATCTAACAGAGACGTCTCGTGCCTTTGAACTATTCTCACGTTCAGTTTCTGGAGTCATCTTGACCATTGATCGGCATTAGCGTGTTGGTCAAGCTTACGTGTGCACGAGTGGGCCCAACATCTGTTGGCAACATTTTTCGGGGTCAGCAAACACTATTCCTTGTGAGACGATATTCGTAAATCACTATGTATTACTTATCAACGATTCCATACGTTTATGAGATTTTACCGTGTAAGCGTGCAGCATTCACCATGAGTGTTGGAATGGCTAGTGATACGTGCGAGACACGTCTTAAAGATACGATGGTAGGCATATAGAGCATAATTAATATGAATATATTCATTTTTGTATAGTTTAGAATATAAAACAATATTTTCTAATTTTCTGGTGAATAAGTATACAACTGTTGAGGATTTGAAGAAAGCTTATGAAGGTGATCATT